TCACATCCATCCTCACATGTGCACCTGGAGCCTGCATACACCGTGTCATGCAGGGCTTGCACTGGAGTCAAGGTGGGGCCCACGGTGTCTGGTTCCTGAAGCAGCCCAGGAGGGTCGGAGACCAGATCACCAAGGCTATTGTCCTGCCCCCATGACTCTCACCCCAGCTGTGAAGCTGGAGGAGATGGATTTGGTGCTGTTTTAGGAGTGGGGTCTGCGATGTGCTGGCTGAGGCTGGGGGGGTCCCAGCTCAGTTCTTCCATGTGTTGCTGGCCCCCGACTCTCTCTGCTTCTCCCTCTCCAAAGCTCTGCCCACAGCTGGACTTCCACCATCCACCTGCATCTCCTCTTGGCCCTGGCCAGGGTGGGCCAGGTGTCAGACTTGGTCCTACCCTCTCATTTTTGAGCAACTTATCCCATCACATTTTTAAAAATCGAGTTCCTTCTGTTCCATCTTAGGGCTGTTTTTCCTCTGTCCTCAGCCCTCCTTCCAACACCCCCACATAGAGACGCTAACTTAAATGAAGGGAAAAAAATGATTGTCTTTATTTCCTGAAGCCTTTCTGAAAGCCAAGATGAGCAACACTCAAGCTGAGACGTCCATAATAGGCATGATCGACATGTTTCACAAATACACCAGACGTGATGACAAGATTGACAAGCCAAGCCTGCTGACGATGATGAAGGAGAACTTCCCCAACTTCCTCAGTGCCTGTGTGAGTCGGAGTTTAGCTTCTCAATGTTGGTTGGACGCTGGCATGGCTGAGGATATATTTTACTATGTGTCTTTGGATGGGTCACCCTCATCCTCTGATTAAAACATTTCCCATTTGCAAATTTATTGCTTGGATCATATGGGAATCTAAGGATGATAGGCAAAAAAGTATGAAAATGGGAAAGAGTTATACAGATATAAATGAGGTTATGAGATGGTCAGCAAAGTGTGCAGCTTGAGGGCGGTGCACAGTCCCCTCCCAGTGCTCACTGACCCCCTCTCTGTGAGACTGAAACTCACATGCTCAGGTCCTGCTTCCCAAAGGCCCCACATCAACATCCTTGAGATTAATGGGAAAGCACTGGAAGTTCCATTGCTAGTAGAAATCAATAGCCCTCTTTGCAATAAACAAGACTCATTAGCAAATCTGAAAAAAACTGTGGGCTACTAGGTACCAAAGGGTCTAGACGACCAAGAGTAGGGAACCCAGAAGATGAGTTTGGTGGAAAAAGAGAAGAAAGAAGAGGAGATCAGAGAAAGAAGAGAACGAAGGATGAGGGCAAATTTGGGGGCCCTGGGGTAGAACTAAGGTAGCCAGTGCCCTTAAACGCTGGGGACAGGTGAGAGTGAGGCTGGGACAGGGGACTGCTCTCCCCAAGGTCACTAAACAGAGCGCCTCGGGACAGGACCTGCCTCCCATCTGAGGTTTGAGACAAAAAGTCTCCCTAGAGAACTCCAGGGATAACATTCACATCCTCACCCCAACTTCACCCACTCGCCCGGCACTCCCAGCCCCGCCACGACGCCTGTGCAGATCTAGGCATTTGTCTCTGTTTCTGCCTCCTCCTCTCCACTCCCAGCCCAAAACTTGTTTGTGATTGAATTTTTCTTGTTTGTATGTTTTTCTCTTCACAGGACAAAAAGGGCATACATTACCTGACCAATGTCTTTGAGAGAAAGGACAAGAATGAGGATAAGAAGATTGATTTTTCTGAGTTTCTGTCCTTGTTGGGAGACATAGCCACAGACTACCACAAGCAAAGCCACGAAGGGGCACCCTGTTTCAGGGGAAGCCAGTGATCCAGCCCCACCAAGGGGCCTCCAGAGACCCCAGGAACAATAAAGTGTCTCCTCCCACCAGACACTTGCCTTATTTCCTTCTTCTCTTTGGTGACCTACATTGTCAAAACTGCCAATTCCAGGCTAACTTTGTTGGAGAATCCCCACCACCCCCATCCAGTGGGTCACCCAAGAGTAATGTCCCACCACCAATGTTCTCCCTGTGGCCTCCAGCAGCGCTGAGCTGCCTCTCACACAGGTCCTGGTGTCTGCCTCTGCCCCACTCCCTAAATGCAGCCACCACAGCAGGTTACAGGTGGAAGCTAGTAGAAGGCCTTTGCCAGGTCACAGCAATGCCCCTCCTTGTCAAGGCATGGACCAGGTCATTCAGATGTATTTAGATACTGCACTGAGAAGGAGCTGGCATCTCTCAGTGTGCTCCTGCCCTCCTGCTCCCACCCCAGCTGTTCTCCAGGGCTTGGGGAAACAGAAACCACTCACATAGGGATTCCTGGATGGGATCAGGCTCAGGGCCCATGTGACTACGAATGGGAGGCTCAGTAGTTCCCTGAGGATGGGCTCCCTTGTCCTGTGGTCTGGGCTCCAAGGTCTGTGTCCTCTCCCTGTGCTGTGTGCTTGTGTGCATGTGCCTATGTGGGTGACCCTGTGGAAGTGAGAGAGAGTCACTCTGATGCTTAGCTGTTCTCCATGATGGTTTGCTCAATGCCAGGACTGGGTTTCTGATGATGAATGAATACTCTAGATTTTGAACAGCTCTAAGTGGTCCAGAAGCCCTATTAAGGAGGCTGGCCTGAATAAGGCAACATCACAGAAATGCCCTAAGGACTGACACAGAAAGCTTATGCTGACTGTGATGAGAAATTGCAGCACCTCTATCTGGTGGGTAATGGAGTGGTTTGTTATTGGTAGTCTACTCCAGGCCAGGCACTGTGCTATGGGCTGAGGATGCAGAAACAAGCAGGACACAGTGCTGTCCTAGCAGAGCACTGACGGGTCTCTCCATACAGGCCACAACACAGGGTTAATGTTCACCCAGTGTCACTTCAAGGCCATGTTCCATGCAGCTGCTCTTAGTATTCCTCCTTGAGTCTCACATCATCTGTCCATATCACGCTTACCACCCTGGTCAGTCTCCAGCTAACCTCTCAATGAGGCAAACATTCTCCTTGGAGAAATCAGGCAACAATCTCAAAAATTCTCTTTCCATCCAACCAGCAGAAGTGTGTAGGATGGGTTATTTGCTCTTGTGAATGACTGCTGCACTCCACACTCACACCTCTCTTCACAGACCAGCATCTCCTCTCCTCATCAGGAATCTTCCTTCCTGAACATATTCTGCACCTCATTAGCATTCAGGACTGATCTGCAGTTTTCACCTCCAAATCCCAATGTCTGACCATTAGGTTTCTTCTCTCTCCTTCTCCCCCTTTCTCATTCTTATTCCACCTGTTCTTGGAACTCACAGAGACCTGCAGTCCCTGGGATTTCATTTTCTCTTCCCAGTCTCCTGCTGCCTTCTCTGTGCAGCCTGCCCCCCATCATCCACCCCAGAATTGCTCTCTTTTCTCTCTTAGCTCTGTTGCCCACTTTCCTTGGGCCACACCTTCCCTGCAGATCTCCAGCCTAGAACCATCTTCCCCATTTTCCTCCTCTCTCCTCCACCAGGACTGCTGGTCACTGCCCAGAACCGTCATGCCAGGGTCCTAAGGGTGGGTGCCTGACTTCCTGTCTGCCCAGCACTCTCTGAATCCCTCCTGTTCACCCAGCTGCTGTTATTCCAAGTATGCGCAACACACCCCTCATCAGTATATCTCAGTATTTCATGCCTCTATACCAATCTTCCAAACTACTGCCTCTGCCAGAAATGTCTTTTAATATTTCATCTGTCTCATTCACATTACATTTTAAGACTGACCTTAATGTCAATGTCTCTTAGACATTTAGAGGCTGAACCACCATCTCTTCACCCCAAAGAAATGATCTCTTCCTCATTTGTGCCTCCCTCACCCTCACCCCACTCCTACCATAGTGGCTGCATTACCTCAGATTCCCCTCGTGTCTTTTCATCCAGACTTGGAATCATGGGGGGAAAACACTATTACCTCAGATCTCCTGGTTACCCAGCAGATAGCAGTACTGGATCCCAGCTCATAGTGAGTACTCTATATCATTTTTTATTATAAAATACATTTGTGCAAATTCTAATCAATACCACCTCATGTAAACAGCAGTGCAAAATCTAAAAACTTCCAGTCCTGGAGGAAGGTTGTGCAGCTTAGGAGAGGACCTCAGAATCTGGACCCCAGAATCTGGAACTAGGCCAAAAGGAATAATGCAAATGACTGAAGAGCTTCCCTAAGGACTCACATCCTGATCTCCCAAAAGAAGAGAGGGTCTCCCTTGGGTGGGGTTCCTGGACTTTCAAGTCCATCGGTAGAGTCCAGAAGGCAACTGACTACCCCTAATGTTGCCATGCCCTCCCTTTATTTTTCCAGTTCATATTTCTCCTGATAATATTCCGTGAATTGGCAATGGCACATACTAATTAGGATGGAGTGTGTGGACAAATACTTCTTGATTTTCTTGTCTAGGATTAAAAATCACCTTCTCAAGGGACTCTTGTCTAATGTTCCTGAGACTATTTCACACTCTCCATGCTTATGCCAATGCAGAACTCATCACATCTATTAGGATATTCTGTTTATACATCCATGTCATCCCAAGAGGTGATAACAGGACAGGGACCCCATGTCTAGCATGCAGTTCCTAGTTAAGATCCCAAATCCTGAGATATTGCTGATTTGCTATGGCAGGTCGTCAAGAGAACTGTCATTCCAAACTCACCAAGGTGGCTTATAGAACAGAAGCAAATGGATATAAAGAGGAGAGGGGACCAGGCCATCTCCACAACCACATCCCAGAGCTCCAGTCACCAGATAGAAAATTGATTTGATTTCACCCAATATTCCTTCAAAATAGTTTCAAGGAATAGGGTGTGGGCAATGTGTCATTCCACATTGGAAGGAGAACATTTTAGAGCAAGGCCTAAGGGCACAGGTATTAGTGTCATATTGATCAGAATGCAACCTTTGTTCTAACACATACTAGAGCAAGAATTGACTTGATTTGGAATAAGTAATAGCTACTGTGCATTATATTGATACTAAAGAGAAAGAATAATTGACAGCTCTATGCCCACACTCACATGACAGTTGATGTGAAAGAGATTCTGGAAATCCAAACGGTCCCAAGAAATTCTGATATCAAAACATTCCAATAACTTTTTTTCTTTCCGACGAAGTCTCACTCTGTTGCCTGGGCTGGAGTATCGTGAGCTGTCCGTGGTGCTGAATTCACTGTGACGTCACTCCTGTCTCTCTTTGCTTTCTTCTGACTGACATTTATTCAACCTTCTCTACAGAAATCTCTTATGTTACCCCACATGCAGGTGGTTTTTGAGTAGGCTCCTGAAGAGTGATCTCAACTTTCCAGAAGAAAAGAGGGCAAAGGGAACAATGTGAAAGGAGCAGAAAATCATAAAAGACCATGTGTTTGATAAACAACCAGATTGTTTCCAGTACCCTGTCACTATAACCACACCATGGCAGCATATTCACACGTGTCCCCTTATAAATCTGTGAGGTAGTTTTTTGGTATTCTTGCCCAGGAAAGGGATTGATGCATCATAGATTATATATATATAACTAAGTGTGAGATAATATCTTATTGTTTTTGTAACTTGCATTTTACAAGAATTATGACCAGCACCAGATAAGTTTCAGTGCTCTCCTTTCTTTGGCCTCAATATTATTGGATTAAAGAATTAATGCTTCTCACTAGGAGCATCATTTATTTACCATTATTTTCAATTTTATATTAAAACTGAATTTCTAGTAGGACCTTTGGTTTCCTTGGTTTATTTTTCTATTTCAGTATTTTTTATCTTTTATTATTCTTTAACCATGTTTCGATCTAAATTAAAGCAGTTAATGTGAACCAATCAGCTTCTTTGGGAATTGTATAGAAGAGCATGAGAGCCTTTATTTCATACAATCCAGCAATGTAACTTTAAATAACTTTACAGTGGAACTCCAACTCATATCCACATTGCTCTATGCACTGTTAGCATTGTTACCTCTGAGTTGCATTTACTTTATAATGTGCTACCACAGTATTTGTCTACCCACTTCTCCACAAATACCTTCCCCACCCTCATATTGCCTCCCACTCCTTACCACCACAAACAATACTATGAGGAACATCATTATATATATTTCCTTATGTATCTGTGTGAATATTTTTGGAACACACACATATATATATGTGTGTATATATATGTGTGTGTTCCAAAAGGTAGACTACCTGGGATACAGATTCTATGTGCTCTTGGCTTGACTATTGTTTTCTTACCAACAGAACCAAGAGTTCCTGTAGTTCAGCATTACTGCCAATATGTCTGCTTCTGGTTATGGAATTATCCCAATAAAACATAGAAATAGACCAATTATCCCAATAAAACATAGAAAATGTGGACAAAATCATAAAATTATCTGCCTCAAAGCATCAAAAAGCTACCAAAGTAACCAGGACTTGAAGGCTCTGGTTATCCAAGAGAAAGAAGACTCAATCAATGTACTCAACATTAAAGCTGCTTCTCTTCCTGAGAAATTAATTCTTAAGTAGTTTGAACAAAGAAGTTAACAAACCAAACAGAAAGTAACTTCTAAGAGACAAGGAAGATTATTTGCAATTTTAATAGTCATTCAGGACTGGTGAGATTGAAATTAGTGTTCAGGACTTCCAACACAGCCAGAACTTGAAAAGACAAAAATTTACATAAAAGAGAAGCAACAAATGGTGAGCTGATCACTCGAATTTTCTCCCTTTTAGGCATGTGTCTTTTCACAAGTTGTACAGGACAAGAGGTACAGCCCATCAGGAAATCTTTGTTAAAAACCTAAATAGCTAGTAAGAGCCTTTAGGAGATAAAAATCAAAGCTCAGAGGATTTCCAAGGTAGAGGTACCCTTCTAAACATTCCAGGATTTCAGTTAGAAACCCTCAATTGCTACTCCTGGGAATAAGTATATGGATCAGAAATATAAATCCTAGAATTCAGTATTGAATCAATAAACCCAGATCGGATTTAAATGATCTGCTACTCTAATTCCTTTCCAGAAGCTAAAGAAAATTCTCTGGAGGGAGAGAAAATCATCCATAGCCTGAAATAAAAAAATTTTCATTCTTAATGTTCAGCATTCAAAAAATACAAGTACACCAAGAGAGAAGATGAAAATAGGAAATGGAAACAAGAGAAGATAAAAATAGAAAATGTAAACAAACCCAGAGATGATAAGCCAGGCACAGAAAGACAAATATCACATGTTCTCCCTCATCTGTGGGAGCTTAAAAAAAAAAAAAAAAAAAAAAAGTTCGTCTCATGGAGGTATAGGGAGAATGATGGTTACTGAGGCTGGGAAAGGTGAATGGGTGGGGTGAAGGGAGATTGGTTAAATGAGTAGAAACACCTAGCTATATAGAAGGAATATGATCTAATGTTTTATGGCAGAGTAGGGCAACTATAGTTAACCAGAGTGTATTGTATATTTCAAAAGATCTAGAAGAGAGGACTTCAAATGTTCTCACCACATAAAAATGATAAATACTTGAGGTGATAGATGTCCTAAATACCATGACTTGATCATTATACATTCTGTGCATGTAACAAAATATCACACATGAACCCCTTAAGTATGTACAAATATTATACATCCACAAAATTTTTTAAATGCTGTAAATGGAAGCAGAGAATAGAGAAGATCACAGAGGAGAATGAAGTCAAAATTATTATTTAAGGTCAGGCAAATAACAGTGTATTTGTATAGAATGAGAAGACCAGAAAACAGAAAAACTGAAGGTGCATAAGAAAAAGGGGAGAATTTCTGTAGCGGGTGTTTGAAAAAAGCAAGGGGGATGGGATGTAGTGAAAGAGGACGGATGGACCTTTGCTGGGAACATAAAAAGTTCATGGTAGTTGGGGGAAGGCAGAGTGTATGGCCACTGATTCTGATAAGAGAGTAGATGGGGTAATTGAAATATGCAAATACTCTTTTATTTGTATTGAATGCGCAGTTGGATTAGTGGTCATGAATTTGAAGTGTGACCAGTCAACAAGGTAAGCACATTTTTCTCCAGACTTGTTTATCTGCAGAAGTGTAGGCAGAATTGGATTTACCCAGTGTTGGCAATGATCATTCATAGCTGATACATAAGAAAAAGACACTGAGACATGTACTCTTGATAGACAACTCCACATATGAAGCAATCTACTTTTAAAAACCTGAAACCTGAATATGCTTAAGACTCTAGATCTACCAGGTTACCAAGGGAAGAGAGAGGCTGAGGAATCTGTTACAATTAGGAACTCCAGACTGCAGGAAATTCTACAGGACAAATGACCCAATTTCTACAACAACAACAGCAAAATGAAAGGAGAAAAAGAAGAAATGGAGAGTGAAGTTGTACATTTAAAAAGTCTTGGGTGAGTGCGGAGGCTCACGCCTGTCATCCCAGCACTTTGGGAGTCTGAGGCAGTGGATCAAGTGGGTAATCCTAACGAAATATTTGTTAAATCAAAAATAATAATTCCTGGCCTTGCATAGTGGCTCACACCTCTAATCCTAGCACTTTGGGAGGCCAAGATGGAGGATCGCTTCAGCCCAGGAGCTCAAGACTAACCCGGGCAACGTAGTGAGACCTCCATCTCTACAAAAAATAAAAAATTAACCAGGCGTGTTGGCACTTGCCTGGAATCCCAGTTACATAAGAGGCTGAATCAGGATTACTTGAGCTAAGAAGGTGGAGGCTGCAGTGAGTCATGATCCTGCTGCTGCACTCCAGCCTGAGCAACAGAGCCGACCCTGTCTCAAATAATAATAATCATTCCAAAATAAGGGACATAATTTTTAAGGAGAGTTAAAAGGCTGGAAAACAATAGCATATAAGCTGGAAGGGGAGTCTCTGAATTTAAAATGAATTATTTACATTGTTTAGGAGGAGAGTAGAGATATTGATTAGCTCTAGTCTAGTATGTATTGCAAGTTAAAATTTCAAAGGTAACCACAAAAATTGTGTGCCTGTGTGTGTTTGTGTGTGTATGTCCAAACCTATGATAGATGGGGATAACCACATAAAAAAGAACAAAATATGGCTCACGTCTGTAATCCCAGCTCTTTGGGGGACCGAGGTGGACACATCACTTGAAGTCAGGATCCAGGCAGATCAGTTGGAGACCAGCCTGGACAACACGGCAAAACATTGTCTCTCCTAAAAATACAAAAATTAGCTGGGCATGGTCGCAACCACCTGTAATCTCAGCTACTTGAGAGGCTGAGGCAGGAGAATCACCTGAACCCAGGAGGCAGGGGTTATAATGAGCCGAGATCACACCACTGCATTCCAGCCTGGGCAACAGAACAAGACTCTGTCTCAAAAAAGAAAAAAAAGAAAGAAAGAACAAAGCAGCTAAGCAGAACCCACTGCGTTGCCAACATGTATGACCAAAGAGAAAGAGGAAAAGAGCCTAGCAACCAGAGCAGGGGACCCATTTACTGGCTCTTGGTGTCTGCTAAGCCGGGGCCTGAGTGGAGGGCCCACGGGCTGGGCTGGGCTGAGATGGGGTTGGGTCATCCATAACCTTCAGAACAGGGCTTCTGGCCATGGGACTGATGGTGTAATTCCTTAGCAACTGCAGGAACACTGGAGAAAAACTCGGAAAAATTGATCTTCTCATCATGATTCCTGTCCTTCTTGAACAACTTTTCTAAGAAATCCGGGCTCTTTCTTTTCCTGTTGGGAGAAGATATCAAACAAAAGGAAGGTTACAACCTGGGGCTGGACTGGGAGGGTGAGAAGGAGATGGCAGAGGCTAAGGGGAAATATGTAGGGGGTGAGGTGGAAGTTGTAGAAGGGTGGGGTTAGGACAGCTGTAATGGATGCAATGGGGAGACCTGACCCTGACGTTTTAACTGGTGACTCTTGGCTCAAATGAGAGCATGCATAGGAGATCCCAATATTCTGAGGCAAGGTCTGCCTGTGCCCCTTGGAATGTCCAATATTCATTCTGCCCGGGCCAACACGCTTTGGACCCTAGTCTCAAAACTACCTCCACTCCTCTTCATTCCATCAAAATACACCAATTCTGAATCCCCTCCTTGTCGGAGCTCACTCTCTGTGATTCAGTCTGTTGCATTATTTGTGCCAGTGAGTTCAGCGGGTGTTAATGGTTTAATGGTGAAGTTAGATGTCATAGTGAGGGGGAACCAAAAACTCCCCAGGGTTTTAGGGCTGCCCCATTTCACTTGGCATTATGATTCTGTGGTATTAACTGCTGCTCCGAGGGGTACATGAAAAGAAGCTTCCAGAAGGAGCAAATGAACCCAGAGTTGAATTTAA